ATAATGGATGCATTTCGAATATAAAACTATTCGAATCTGGGTTACCAATATCACTTTAAATGAACCAATGGTGCTAGAAATAAGGTATGAGAACATGAATTTGAAAACTTGTCATGTGAAAAACCAAATTTTACCAAATTAGAAACTGAAAGTGGCCGAAACTTTTACAGAACAAGGATTTTTATGGATTTGATGACACAATTAATCTCAATTTTTCAGGAGCATTGAAATGACAGGCAAACAAATTACTAAAAAGGCAAATTTTAAAAACCTGCCCAACAATAAAGTTATTCGAAACTATCTGAAAAATTGACCAAAAAAACAAAACATGACTCACAAGAATAACTCTACCACCAACAATACCACAACATCTACATCCATTGACCAAAATGCTACCACTTTACAATTTCAATTTGTCTTTGACAAGGTCATACTCAACCAAAGAACGATGAAATTATTCAAAGAATTCCTAATGAAGAGTTTACATTCCCCAGAAGCTATCCTCTTCTATGAGAAAGTTCTCGAATTTAAATCATTCGAAGGACAAGCTCTGACTGAACTTCAGACGAAACTTGCTCAGAATATTGTAGAGCGTTTTATTGTTGTTGGCTCCGCGCATGAAATTAACATTGGAAAAAGAGAGAGAAATCAAGTACTTGAGAGGGTGAAGAGATTGTTAGGTAATAGTCCACAAAATTGTGAGTTGAAACATGTTTCTAATAGTAAGCAAATGCTCAATAAGAAAGAAAACGAAAGTGATGAACATTCAGAAACTTCAACAAATAAGCAAACGAGCTTTTCAATGAGTGAGACTTCTACCTTTATAATGGTGGATCCAATTAACATTTTTGATGAAGCATTAGTGACAGTTAAGAGACAGCTCAAAGAAGACGTTTTTCCACTTTTTTTGAGAAGTGACAGATTTCTGACATTTTGTAAGAAGGCATCGAGAGAAACTCTGGGAGAGATTGGTTATGAGAGAAGACAGTGTCGTCAATCTGGCAACGTTTCTATTGAAGATTTTTGGAAATTTTACAGAGCTGATTGTGAATCTCTAAATGTCAATGGTCAAGATGTCAAATTTTTAAGCTCTTTATCAATAGATAGTTCTGATTGGACTCTATTAGAGCAAGAATACTTTAAAAAGAGTTGTTTTGCAACATTTGTTTCATCTGAAACTCATTGCATGATAAGACCAGAAACTTCCGAATATAGAAATCCAAATTCACAACATATTTACAAATGTACAGGTGTCATTAATCACTCAACTGAGAAAGTATGAAAGCTCTGACAGTTC